AGAGTGAGACTCCGTCTTTAAAAAAAAGAAGAAGAAGAAAAAAAACTTATGAAGGATTAAAAGATAAATACAAAGAAAACCACAAAGGAAGATACAGTAAAACTGCTGGGACCAGAGGGGGGAAAAACATTTTGTAAGTACCTAGGAAAAGCAGCAATATCTTTTTTTTTTTTAATATACATTTTTATTTTTTGAGACACGGTCTCACTGTGTTGCCCATGCTGGAGTACAGTGGCACAATCATGGCTCACTACAGCCTCGACCTTCTAGGCTTAGGCAATCTGCCCACTTCAGCCTCCTGAGCAGCTCAGACCACAGGTGTGCACCACCATGCCCAGCTACTTTTTTGTATCTTTTTCAGAGACAGGGTTTTGCCATGTTGCTCAAGCTGATCTCAAACCCGAGTTCAGGCAATCTGCTTGCCTCGGCCTCCCAAAATGCTGAGGCTACAGGCGTGAGCCACTGCACCTGGCCTATTTATCCGGCCTATTTATTTTTCAATTTTATTTTATTTTATTTTATTGAGACCGGGTCTTTCTCTGTAACCCAGGCTGGAGTGAAGTAGCGCCATCACAGCTCACGGCAGCCTCAACATCCTGGGCTCCAGCCAACCTTAGCCTCCACAGTAGCTGGGACTATGGGCATGTGCCACCATGCCCGGCTGACTTTTTATTTTTTGTAAAGATGGGAGTCTTACTATGTTGCCCAGACTGGTCTCAAACTCCAGACTCCAGCGATCCTCCTGTCTTGGCTTCCCAAAGTGTTGGGATTACAGGTGTGAGCCACCACTCACAGTCAAGAAACACTACCTTTAAAGGAGTAACATTAAGGCTGAGAGCTTAGTTCTCAACAGAAACGATGGAAGCCAAAGTGGAATGCTATTTTTAAACTGCTGAAAGAAAATAGCTTTAGGCCGGGCGTGGTGGCTCACGCCTGTAATCCCTGCACTTTGGGAGGCCAAGGCGGGCGGATCACAAGGTCAGGAGATCAAGACCATCCTGGCTAACACGGTAAAACCCCATCTCTACTAAAAATACAAAAAATTAGCCGGGCGTGGTGGTGGGCGCCTGTAGTCCCAGCTACTTGGGAGGCTGAGGCAGAAGAATGGCGTGAACCCGGGAGGTGGAGCTTGCAGTGAGCCGAAACTGCGCCACTGCACTCCAGCCTGGGCGACAGAGTGAGATTCCGCCTCAAAAAAAAAAGAAAAAGAAAATAGCTTCAGTTCAGACGCTATACTGGGCCAGGTGCAGTGGTTCACGCCTATAAATCCCAGCACTTTGGGAGGCTGAGGCGGGCAGATCACTTGAGGTCAGGAGTTCGAGACCAGCCTGGCCAACAGGGTGAAACTCCGTCACTACTAAAAAACAAAAAATAAAAAAATTAGCTGGGCAGGGTGGCGTGCACCTGTAATCCCAGCTACTTGGGAGGTGAGGCAGGAGACTCGCTTGAACCCAGGAGGTGGAGGTTGCAGTGAGCTGAGAACATGCCACTGGACTCCAGCCTGGGTGACAGAGCAAGACTCCATCTCAAAACAAAACAAGACAAAACAAAACAAAAACAGATGCTGTATTCAATGAAAGTATCTGTTTGTTGTTGTTGTTTTGAGACAGTCTCGCTCTGTCGCTCAGGCTGGAGTGCAGTGGCGCGATCTCAGCTCACTGCAACCTCCGCCTCCTGGGTTGATGCCATTCTCCTGCCTCAGCCTCCCAAGTAGCTGGGACTACAGGCGCCCGCCACCACACCCGCTAATTTTTTTGTATTTTTAGTAGAGATGGGGATTCACCGTGTTAGCCACGATGGTCTTGATCTTCTGACCTCGTGATCTGCCCGCTTCGGCCTCCCAAAGTGCTGGGATTATAGGCACGAGCCACCACGCACAGCCAAGTATCTTTTTAAAAAATTAAAAGTGGGGCCGGGCGCGGTGGCTCAAGCCTGTAATCCCAGCACTTTGGGAGGCCGAGACGGGCGGATCACGAGGTCAGGAGATCGAGACCATCCTGGCTAACATGGTGAAACCCCGTCTCTACTAAAAATACAAAAAACTAGCCGGGCGAGGTGGCGGGCGCCTGTAGTCCCAGCTACTCGGGAGGCTGAGGCAGGAGAATGGCGTAAACCCAGGAGGCGGAGCTTGCAGTGAGCTGACATCCGGCCACTGCACTCCAGCCTGGGCGACAGAGTGAGACTCCATCTCAAAAAAAAAAAACAAAAAAAATTAAAAGTGGGCTTGGCACGGTGGCTTTCACCTATAATCCCTGTACTTTGGGAGGCCAAGGCGGGCAAATCACTTGAGCCCAGAAGTTCCAAACCAGCCTGGGCAACATGGCAAAACCCCATCTCTACAAAAAATGCAAAAATTAGCTGAGTGTGGTAGCACGCATCTGTGGTCCCAGCTACTCGGGAGGCTGAGGCAGGAGGATCATTTGAGCCTGGAAGGTTTAGGCTATAGTGAGCCGAGATTGCACCACTGCACTCCAGCCTGTGCAACAAACAGAGATGCTGATTTAAAATACACTCTAGGCTGGCTGTGATGGCTCACATCTGTATTTCCCAGCATTTGAGGAAGCTGAGACAGGAGGATCTCTTGACACCAGTAGTTCAAGACCAGCCTGGGAAACACAGCTAAACCTTGTCTCTACTAAAAATAAAAAATTTAAAACTTAGCCGGGCATGATGGTGAATGCCTGGAGTCCTGGTTACTCAGGAGACTGAGGCCGGAGGTTCTCTTGAGCCCAGTATGCTGAGGCTGCAGTGAGCTATGATTGAGTCTTTGCACTCCAACCTGGGCAACAGATCAAGACCCTATCTCTAAATAAATAAATAAACAAAACTCTAACAAAAGTCAAAAGTGCATGATGGAATCTCTTGATAACTATTAAAGAATAGAAGGAGTTGTGCTCACTTCAGCAGCTCATACAACTGAAACTATAGAGAGACGATTACCATGGCCTCTACACAAGGATGTCACACAAATTCGTCAAGCGTTCCATATTTTTTATAAAAAAAAAAATAGAAGGAGTGAAATGGTACAATACAGAGGTTATGCAAATACTAAAAGACAGGTGATGTAGCCACTTTCAATGTATGGCAAAGCAGACTTAAGGCAGGCAAGAAACAGAATTACAGAATAAAAGAGGTATATTTGATTATAATAAAAACTTATTTAGCATCAAAAAGTCTAAGTTTCTATGTACCCTAATTACGTAGGCTAAATATACAGATAACACAAATAAATATAACTAAAAAGAAAAGAAAAAACCACAGTCATAGATGGAGAATTTAACATTCTCCTCTCAGTTATCCAATAGCAGAGAGATTTAAAAAAGGTTCTAGGGAGATACAAGATTTAACACAATTAACAAATTTGACCTCATTAACTTACATAGAATGCTACAACCCAAAAACTGCAAAATACACATTCTTAGGAACTGAGGGTGATACAAATTACCAAATTTTACCATAAACTAGTTGACAGTATGGTTTCTGATCACATTAGAATAAAGCCACCAGTAACAGAAGGATAACTAGAAAATTTTCAAAGGTATGAAAATCAGGCAACATATAAATAACCCATAAATTAAAGAAACCACAAATAGAAAAAGTATGTATTTTGAACTTAATGAAAATATGACATATCAAAATGGGTGGAATACCGTAAAATATGTTTGTGTTCTCCCAAAAATCATCTGTTGAAGCCCTTATTCTCAGTGTACACATAGATTTTTATCAATAAACACAGTCAGGCTTTTGTATCCTTGGGTTCTGTGATTGTAAGCAAGTTTGGCTTGAAAATACAGTATTCATTAGAACCCACATACAGGGAGGGTCAACTTTTCATATATGTGGCTCCACAGGGCCAAGTGTGGGACCCCACCATGGGCGTTCTGGTATATGCTGGGGTCTTGGAACTAATCCCCTGCATGCATATATACTGAGGGGTGGCTGTATTTGGAGATGGGGCCTCTAAGGATGTAATTAAGGTTGGAAGAAGTCAGATCCAGTAGCATTGGTGTCCTTATAGGAAGAGACCCCAGAGAGCTTGTGCGCGCGCTCTCTCTTTCTCTGTATCTGCGCAAACACTGAGGATGGCCATGTAAGGACACAGTGAGATGCAGGAAGAGAGCCCTCACCGGAAAGCCACTATGCTGGCACCCTGATCTCAGAATTCCAGCCTCCAGAACTGAGGGAAAATAAATTTCCACTATTTAAACCACCCAGTATGTGGTATTTTGTGATGGTAGTCTGAGCAGACCAACACAGCATCCATTCCATGAAGCTAGAAAAACAGGAAATTAAACTTAAAGAAAGCTGCTCTTAAGAATAATGAGCACAGAGCAATGAAACAGAGAGCAGATATCCAAAATAACCTCCTTGAAAATATTAATAAAGTTGACAGGCCCCAGCAACACAGATCAAGGTACATGTATGCAGAAAAAGGAAAAGAAGGAAATACTCTAAAACATAAAATATAATCATTTCTACATGGTGCAAACAGAAATTAATTTTTATTTTCTTTTTTACACTTCTCTGGGTTTTCTAAATTTTCTCCAAGTAAACTTTTCACAAGTACCAACTCCACTGTATGAAATATATATAGCTTTAGCAGACTTACCTTGCAGCCAGAGAATAAATGGCATTGGCAGATGAGGAAGGTTTGATTTTGGGGTGGTCACACTCTGGACCTACTAATGGGCTGCTATTCATACTCTGGAAAGTAAAGAAAAGTGTTGAAAAACAACTTTCTTACCACAGCTGAGCTGCTCCTCTTACTGAACCTTTTCAAAATAACAGTAACAGATACAGACCTAACTCTCAATGCCATGCCCAGGGGTTATCACATCTGACACATCTGACCTGAAGGCTTAGAGGCCTTAAGGTTCTGAAGAACCTTCAAATGTAAGGTTTAGGGAGATGGAGATCTAGAAAGAGGCAGGGAAATGAACTTTTTGGTTTAATTCTAAAAAGATTTGAGTAAATTGGCTATCCACACAAATACCATTAGTATCTTAAATAATCTATATCCAAACTCAAAACGGTCATTCCATACTGATGCTGACAGAAAGTCAAACCTAATCCACACTCACTAATTAAACTGTCCAACTCACTGGTACCACTTGAGTGTTACCCCTTCTCTGCAACGAAAGAATATGCCATTCACTTAGTGCCGCATTTCTCAACTTTACTCTTCCCATTCCATCTCCTTAGATTTCTGACTGCCTGCTTGCCAATGCTTCCATCAACTGCTCATTTCAAATTCAACAGTCAGCCAGGTAAAAGCTTCATTTTTACGTGCATGCGGTATACATGTGATACTTCTTATCTTTTATTCCATGCACTGACTGCTTTTCAAGCCTTAACAAGTCTTTATTTCATGCTCTCAAGAGGCTTCGACCTAATCTGGCTGCCCACTCTGCTCATAAACAATGATTCTCTCTCTTGCTCATTTAGTACTGGCTATACTAAACCCCTTTTTTACTCTTCAAACAGTCTCTCCCAAACTCACTTGCTTTTTCCTTCATCCTGAAATAATCTCCCCTGGGATCAGCATGGCGGGTCCTCCCTACTGCTACAGGTTTCTGCTCAGAATTGTACTCTGTAACTTCACGTACCTCCCACTCCTGTGCCAGCTTTCTCTATACCCTTCTTTGGGCTATTTTTCTCCACAGCACTTGTGACTGTGAACATACTATGTTATTCAATTAACGTGTTTATATTCCATCTTCCTCCCATTAGAATATAAACTTTGTGAGGGCAAGACTTTTTGTTGAGTGCATAAATGAACAAAACATCAAATATTCCTCTCCCACCTACCAGTTCCGGACCCTTTCTTGCATATTTAGACAAAAGACCAATAACCTACCTCCGAATGCTCTTCATTTCCTACCATATAAATTAAAATTCTTTTGGGAGAGGGTATTCAAGTCTCTCTAATCTAGTGTGATGTTCCTTTCCAGTTCTTTCTCCTACTGACAAAATTTCTGCTCTACTTAAATTAACCTAATCGTCATTCCACAGTACACCTTAAGCGTTTGTCAATGTGGCTGTTAACAATCTGAAAACCGTATCCACTTTCCAAAGAAATACTTCAGATTCAGATGCCACTCCTTCTATAAAGTCCTCATGATTGCCCTACCTGGGAATAACCTCTTATTTCTCTAAAACTTAACTGTTTTCTAGTTAGATTACAAATGGCATTTATAAAAGGACATTTGCTGCAATATTTACAAACTGCCTCATCTGGTCTATGAACATACACACTTTTTTTTTTTTTTCGAGACAAACTTTCACTCTTGTTGCTCAGGTTGGAGTGCAGTGGCATGATCTCAGCTCACTGCAACCTCTGCCTCCCAGGTTCAAGCGATTCTCCTGCCTCAGCCTCCCGAGTAGCTGGAATTACAGACACCCGCCACCAGGCCCAGCTAATTTTTTGTATTTTTAGTAGAGACGGGGTTTCATCATGTTAGCCAGGCTGGTCTCGAACTCCTGACCTCAGGTGATCCACCTGACTCGGCCTCCCAAAGTGCTGTGATTGCAGGTGTGAGCCACCGCGCCCGGCCACACTTCTTGAGGGTAGGAATTATGTTATAGCATCTCTGAATTCCAGATAAAACCTATCACAAAATTTCAACCCATAAACTTCTATCCACACATATTTCCTTTTCTTTCTTCGTTTTTTTCAAGACAGGGTCCCACTCTGTTGCCTAGGCTGGAGTGCAGTGGCACAATCATGGCTCACAGAAACCCTGGCCTCCTGGGCCCAAGCAATATTCCCATCTCAGCCTCCCGAGTAGCTGGAATTACAGGCATGTGCCACCACGCCCAGCTAATTTTTGTAATTTTTGTAGATACAGGGTTTCAAAAACACCATGTTGCCCAGCCAGGCTGGTCTCGAAATCCTTGGCTCAAGCGATTCGCCCACCTTGGCCTCCCAAAGGGCTGGGATTACAGACATGAACCACTGTGCCTGGTCCACACATACTTCTTAACAGGTTAGATAGTTTCAAAATGAAGACTCACCATGGAGGTATCCAGACTAAACGTGCTTCCGAGCCTAGGCACATCTGGTCTGGGCTCCATTTGTGAGGGCAATGAAAATGGAAGTGAGTGCCGGTTGGTTAATTCTCTTCCTGTCCAGGGATCACTGGAACTTGGGGCAGATACTGGTACTTTGGGGATCGGCCGGGGCAGCCATGAGTCTCCAAGGCGGCTAGAGGGGACAGGTGGCAGTTTGTCTCTGGATGGACAATCGCCTGGTGTACAAGGCAAGGGGCGTCTCTGAGGTCGGGATTCTGTTCCAACAGAATATGGCCGGTCTGGAGGCGGTGGTGGTGGAAGATCTCGAAGTGTGGGAGGTACTGGCAATGGTTTGTCTTTATGAAGGGAGCCAGAAGCAGCCTGTGGAAGCACGGTGAAAGCAAATCAATAAAAACCCACTAGTACACAGCAAAGAATCCAAAAACTGCAGTAATGGAAAATGCTTTACCTTAGAAGCAGTTCCAAGAGCAGAAGCACTTGAGGGAACACATACTCGCTGTGGCAGAAGGTCAAGTCGTGGTGGCACTGGGGGAAGGGAAGCTTGTGGGGCCATGGAGAATGGAGAAGGCGGCCGTTCCACCTAGGGTACATAAAAAATTTAACAGGTTACTCTCGTTTGGGGAAATGGCATCTTTCAACTCTCCTAAAGCTGTGGATGGCAAATACCATGGGAACACTTACAACTACAAATGGGCCAGACTTAGGTTTAAGGTCACACACACCCTCTTAAAAAACTTCCAGATATTCTAGCACTTCCTGAATAATTTTTGTGTCACCATAAGAGGGCACTCTCAATCACAGAAACACCATACCCATGGCAAGCTACAGGTAATCTATCTAGAAAGGACAGGGCGACAAAAAATTTCCTAGCTTACAATTTTAAAAATTACTACAGTTTTCTACCCCCTCACCTTTGGAGAAAGAAAAAAAATCTTTTCAAGATTAAAAATAGGAATCCGTAGAAAAAGAAAGGGGCAGGCCATGCATGGCGGCCCACACCTGTAATACTAACATTTTGGGAGGCGGGAGTTCGAGACCAGTATGGGCAACATAGTGAGACCCCGTCTCTACAAAAAATAAAATAAAAAATTAGCTGGGCCATAGTGGCACACAGCTATTTGGGAGGCTAAAGCAGGAAGACTGCTTGAGCCCAGGAGTTTGAGACTGCAGTGAACCATAATCATGCCACTGTACTCTAGCCTGGGCAACAGAGCAAGAGCCTGTCTTGACAAAAGAAAAAAAAGGATGGAGGGCGGGGTACAGATATTAACCTCTCAACAAAGTACCTGGGAAAACAATGTTTAAGGAACATAACAAAGAAACAGATCAATGACGACGAATTTTCTATGGGTTATTAAAATAAGAAGATAAGAGTGGGTACAACGGCTCACACCTGTCATCCTAGCATTTTGGGAGGCAGGAGGATTGCTTGAGGCCAGGAGTTCAACACCAGAGATCCCTCTAAAAAATTTTTTTTAACTTAAAAAAAATTTTTAAAGGTGAAATTTGTAAAAAAAAAAAAAAAAAAAAAAAAAAGATCAAGAATATCACTAAAAAGTATCTTGAGTTCTTCCAAAGAAATAAATTATTTCAATTCAAGAATTAAAAGGGATTAATATTTTCTGTCAATTTGAGCTCTAAAAAATGAGGTACCAAATTAGAAGAAAGAACACATATATAACCTCTTCCATTTCCCTGCCTATAGCAGGCTTAGGAATAGCTGATAAGCTTGCCACAGTAAGCGGTCAAGAGATATACAGTAATTCATTTAAAAAAAAAAAAAAAAAAAAAGGCTACTCTGCATTTAAATTCCCTAACAGGAAAGCAACTGACAGAGGAACAGCCATCCCCATACTTAGTCCTGTTATTAGTGTTGGGTGGTAGATGACAGAAAAGAAAGCTCTCATCTTTAGCTCTTTGCTTTATCCACATGCTTAAGATAACGGGCTCCCAATCAGCTGACAATGCAGCATGAGCAACTAAACAGCTCAATGACAAAAGTCAAAGTCAAGCCTCCTCTCACTTCATCATAATTATTTTGTCAGTCGCTATATCCTGCTGATTTTTCCCCAAAAGATTCTCATATCTGTATATTTCATTTCATTCTACTTAGCAACCTCAGATCTTATTTATTTATGGGAGACAGGGTCTTGCTCTATCGCCCAGGCTGGACTGCAGTGGCACAAACATGGTGCACTGCAGCCTTGACCTCCTGGGCTCAAGCCATCCTCCTGCCTCAGCCTCTCAAGTAGCTGGGACAAGGTGTGCACCACACACGTTGCTTTTTTTGGGGGGGCGGGGGGGTTGGGAAGCACAGGTAGACAGGGTCTTGTCATGTTGCCCAGGGTGGTCTCAAACCTCTGGGCTAAAGTGATCCTCCTTGCCTTGGCCTCCCAAAGTGCTGGGATTACAGGCGTGAGCCACCGCGTCTTGACGTGATTTATTCAACAACATAGTGAACTTCCCAACTTGTAGTTTATCTCGCCACATCCTTCTGCTTACCACTATCAGCTTAGCCATTCTTAAACACTCACCAACTCAAAAACCACCAGTAACTCCCAATTTGCCCTGTTACAAAATCTCACCCTCCTGCCGGGCTTTCTAATCTGGTCTCTGCAACCAAAGGTATTTCCCACAACTCCCTAACAAGTGTCAAGGCTGCTCTATTCAGGCTTATCTCCTCAGTGTTTCCTGCACATGCTATGATTATTTTGACTTCGGTATGATTCTTCAAATCCTTTCCCCATTCTGGAAGGCCCTCTCATCGATCTTTCTCTCATTCCTTAAGCACAGAGGGTTGAACTAATCATATTTTTAAATTCATGTCTCAACATCACAATGGATCCTTGCAATATTCTTTTTTTTTTTTTTTTTTTCTGAGATGGAGTCTCACTCGTTGCCCAGGATGGAGTGCAATGGCGCAATCTCGGCTCACTGCAACCACTGCCTCCCAGGTTCAAGCCATTCTCCGGCCTCAGCCTCCCAAGTAACAGGGATTATAGGCATGCGCCACCATGCCCGGCTAAATTTTGTATTTTTAGTAGAGACAGGGTTTCACCATATTGGCCAGGCTGGTATGGAACTTCTGATCTCAGGTGATCTGACCGCTTTGGCCTCCCAAAGTCCTGGGATTACAGGCGTGAAGCACTGCACCCGGCCGCAATATTCTTTTATCACAGCATATAAGGTTCCAGAAAAGGTAGAACCTTTATAAATTTATAAATGGAAAACAAATGATCAGAGAAATACGAACATTTCCAAGACTTAAAGACTTAAAGGACGTAAATAGCCAAATAGAAAGGGTTTATTACATACCCAGCTCAATTAAGGAAAAGAAACCCACAACAAACAAACCAAAAATACCCTTACATTTTTCATCAAATCAAGGATGAGGAAAATATCTTAAAAGCTTCTGGTGGGCCAGGTGTGGTGGCTCACACCTGTAATCCCAGCACTTTGGGAGGCCGAGGTGTGCAGATCATGAGTTCAGAAGATCAAGACCATCCTGGCTAATACGGTGAAACCCTGTTTCTACTTAAAAAAAAAAAAAAAAAAAATTAGCCGGGCGTGGTGGCAGGCGCCTGTAGTCCCAGCTACTCAGGAGGCCGAGGCAGGAGAATGGCGTGAACCCAGGAGGTTGAGGTTGCAGTGAGCTGAGACTGCGCCACTGCACTCCAACCTGGGCGACAGAGCAAGATTCCATCTCAAAAAAAAAAAAAAAAGGGCTTTTGGTGACAGAGGGAAAGGAAGCACTGAAAAGTACAAATACATTAGAAGCTAGAAGTCAGTGAAGCCTTAACAATTTAGAGGAGAATATTTATCAACCTAGAATTCTGTAACTAGTCAATTTACGTTTGAGGGTTGAACTTTTAAGATACCAACGATCTCAAGAAGTTTATCTCTCACCCTTTCACAGAAAGCCATTTTAAGGACATAAAGAAGTAAAGCAAAAAAGAGGAAAACACGGGAACCAAGGTACTCCAAGAGAGGAGAGGCAATGAAGTTCCATGAGTATGGCGAGGGGACACCTCAGGGTGACAAGCAGTATGGCACAGAGAATGACTGGAGCAGACTGGAGCTGAACACAGATGACTCCTAATTCCTACGCAGCAGTACACGATATCACATACTACTATACTAACAGATTTTATTTCACAGAAACTATATTGAGAGGATGTTTGAGAGTACAGTATGATTTGGTAGTGACAGGTACAAACTGAAAACTAAAAAATAAAAATAATTATACCAGGAAAAGCAGAAAGTTGTATAAGAAAGCAAAAGTAATTATTGTATAGTATGCTATTTGGCAGAGTATGGAGTGAAATCATATAAACACTGAGTACTAAGCCAAATTCAAATAACTGTAGTGGGAGGATATGGAGTACAGAGGAGGGAGATAAGAGACCTAAACACTCTCCCACAATATCTGAGGTGAAGAGATCAAGAATCCAGAAGCAGCAGCATAAGCATATGGTTAAGAAACACAGAGGTAGTAAACAGTTTCAAGAATTAAAACTCTGAACGAGGGGACAGAGAGGTGCTGGAGGGGACAGAGGCAGGGAACCAATGTTTTTGTAAGTTTTTTAGCAATTCTTTTAAACCTTAAAAAAAAAATCCATGTGCCCTCACCAACTATAAGTAGATTCACTATATTAAAAACAAATCAAAATAAAACAACAAACAACATCTACCAGGATGTGAAGAAACAGGCATTCTCATTCTTTTCCATACCTTCAAGAGTGATTTCAGGACCAAAAAAAGGGGCTAAGCTTTAATAACTATCCAAAAGTTAAATATTTTCACTCAAATTATTTTATTCATACAAAATATATAATGAACTATAAAGTACAAGGAATAAAACATCCATGTACTTATCATCCAGCTGAAAAACAAAATACCATTATCACTGTGATATTCCCATGAGCCCCTCCATTAATCACAACCCTCCCCTCTATCACAGTTGAAATACACATGCCCTTATGTAGCAATCCCACTGCTAGCCTAGACAGACTTGTTTAAAAGCTGGCCAATATATGTAAGCCTGCAAACAATATGAATGTCCATTAAAAGGAAGACAAAATAAATTATGGAATGGCCAAATGACAAAATACATGAAGCTGGTTTTTTTTCTGTTTGCATTTCTACATGGCTAGGGAAAGAGTGTTCCTTTACTTCTTCCTCTCAAGTGTTTCACCTGCACATATGTCCTCTTCCTAAATAAAACTATTAGCTCCTTGAAAGCCTTATCTTAGATTTCTTATCCCATATAGCACTCAACCATCTAGCACAACAAACACTTTGAAAAAGTAACATGCATTAATTGTAAAAAATTCAAATATTCCACAGAATTTAAGTGCTCTCAATTTCTATCCTCAGAAATAACAGTGATTAGTTTGGTATGTAGTCATCCAACTTTTCTATGTATATCCTTTTAAAAAAATTTTTTTACAGAAATAAGTCACGCTACACGTAGTATACAATTGCTTTTTATTTATGAGACAGGGTCTCACTATGTCACCCAGCCTACAGTGCAGTGGTACAATCACAACTCACTCCCGCCTTGAATTCCTGGGATCAAGCAATCTTCCTGTCTCAGTCTCCAGACTAGTTAGAACTACAGGCGAACACCACCATGCCTAACTATTTTTTTTTTTAGGGGGGCATCGGGGCAGTGGTGGTGAAGATAGGGTCTTGCTACGTCGAATTGCTGGGCTCAACTGATCCTCCAGCTTTGGCCTCCAGAGTAGTCAGAACTACAGGTACACAACATCATACCCAGCTTTTTTTTTTTTTTTTTTTTGGAGTTGGGAGTAGAGATAGGGTCTCACTATATTGCCAAGGCTGGTCTCAAACTGGGCTCAACTGATCCTCCAGCCTCAGCCTCCCAAAGTACTGGGATTATAGGCATGAGCTATAGGCATGCCCAGCCCCAACTTTCTAATGCCAAGACTCCACTAAAAAAAAAAAGGGAACCGAACTTATTCTAGTTGCATTAGCAAAAGAGGATCCAGTTCTTTTTTTCTCCATCATATTCTCCATCAGGGGATATGAATAAAGTCTTAGTCCTAAAATACAGACAGTATTGGGCCTTAAGCTGGAATGCCTGGTCACAGATGCAGCTCACAGATGCTTCAACCTACTAGCTGTGTGATCTTAGGATCTTAGTCCTAAAACTTCGGATCTTAGTCCTAAACTTCGGATCTTAGTCCTAAAATACAGACAGCATGGGCCTTAAGCTGGAATGCCTGGTTACAGATGCAGCTCACAGATGCTTCAACCTACTAGCTTGAATAAAAATAAAAATAAATTTTTTTTTTATTTTTTCTGAGGTTGCAGTGTGTGATCTTCGGCAAATTCCTTAACCTCTTTGTGCCTCAGTTTCTTAATCTGTTAAATGAGGGTAATAGTAGTATGTACTCATGGGGTTGTAGTAAAGATTATATAAGTAAAAAACAAGTAAAGTGTTTAACATAGTATCTGTCATATAGTAAATGCTCAATAAATATCAGCTATTAATACTACCTATCATTGTAGTTTGCATATCATTAAGTGTTTTACGGCTTTAGAACATAAACTCATAATGGATTTAGCCAGTCTCCTAAACTGCTGTCTTACCTTGGCACCAGCCAATTCCTTCATCATGAAGAGAGTATCATCAGCTCGTTCATCGTCATCATCATCATAATTTGGGGAGGGAGCTCCCTCTGCTCCTTGCCTCAACAGGCTGCCACTCCCTCTAGGATCAAATGGATCTACCACGATGGGTTCAGTACCTTTAATTTCACATCGGCAGAAAGGACAGCCCTGACCTTCTGATTCCTGCAGAAGAAGCAAGAGATAGTAAAAGATGCATCTGAAAATATTTAAAATATTAATCTGCTAGAAAATACATTTCCTAGAGATTAAAAGAAAGTAAAAGTTTAAACCTAACCCCAAAAGCCAGACCACCCCTTATATCAGTAAAGGCTATATAATACCGAATTCTCCAAGGTGATTACATAGCTGAAGAAAGTCACTGTTTAGATCCATACCTGCCAGGATGTAAGACAGGATGTGCACATGAGGTGTCCACAGGGCTCAATCTTTACATCCTTATCATTTTCAGCACATATTTTACACAGCTGGAATGTGGAGCCCATCTCACAGTATAATTCATATTGTTCCTTTAAGAAAAATTAAGAGACTATTAGTTGAATAACTGCAATCATAAATGTTAACAACAGAAAAAGTGAAGACTTGCTTCCTATACAAATTTTGCTTATATAAAAATGTCACAACAGTGGTTTATTTTCTCCCATTAAACCAGAAAGCATCTAGTCTGGGTCCTATTTTAAGCTCCAGGGTTTACAGTGAAACCACATACACACAAATTCACTAATCTAGTCAACAGTTTAAATTCACTAATCTAGTCAATGGTGTTCCAATCAATTCAATTATGCCATCAGTTCTATAAAGACTATACTAAAGTTTGTGTTCAGTGATATGGTTATAATGTAAAACAAAACTCACCTGGGTCACTTTGATATGGTCTTGGGGAGTTGGTTCACATAAGCCAGTCAGATCAGGATTCTGATTTCGTCCATCAGGAAACAAATAGCTGTAAAGAGTAACCAATCTTGGGTTTTATTGAAGCCAATTTACCAGTGCTTGCTAATACAGACAAATGGTATCTGGAAGTTCCTCCAATCTAAAAGGGCAACTTGGTGTAAGTATAAAGATAAATCTTACTTCAAAAAAATAAATAACAGAACAGTTCAAAGATATTCTCCAAAAACAAAGATATTCTCCTTCTCCAGGTAACAATGCCATAGGTTCTATCTTTTAATCAAGGGGTTGGTTAGCAAAGCTTTTCTGTAAAGAGCCAGACAGAAAATCATTTAGGATTTGTAGGCCACATTAGTCTGGGTCACATATTCTTCTCTGATTGTTTTTTTCAAAATGACTCTTAGGAAAAACTATCTTGGCTTACACGGGGAACAAACAGGTAGCACATGGGTCACAGTTTACCAACCAATTTTTAATCAATGGATGGCCACCATACAGAAATTCTTTTTTTTTTTTTTTTTTTAGAGACAGATTTTTTTTATTTTTTCTGAGGTTGCAGTGAGTGATCTTGGTTCACTGCAACCTCCACCTCCCGGGTTCAAGTGATTCTCCTGCCTCAGCCTCCCAAGTAGCTGCGATTACAGGCACTTGCCACCACGTCCAGCTAATTTTTTGTACTTTTAATAGAGACAGGGTTTTGCCATGTTGGCCAGGCTGGTCTTGAACTCCTGACCTCAGGTGATCCGCCCGTCTCAGCCTCCCAAGCTGCTGGGATCACAGGTGTGAGCCACTGAGCCCAGCCTAAATTCTTAATTTAAACTGCATTTGCTTTTGATCAAGGACCTGAAATACCTTTATTTACAGGTTTAAGAAAATGAGAGACACTAATTTAAAAGCAATGTAACAAGATGCAAATTAAGCCACTGAGATCATCTACCAGGGAGATCCAGTTTCTAGCATCAAACTGTTCTGACATTTGGGACAGCACTTCTATTTTTTTTTGAGACGGAGTCTCGCTCTGTCGCCCAGGCTAGAGTGCAGTGGCCGGATCTCAGCTCACTGCAAGCTCCGCCTCCCGGGTTCACGCCATTCTCCTGCCTCAGCCTCCCGAGTAGCTGGGACTACAGGCGCCCGCCACCACGCCCAGCTAATTTTTTGTGTTTTTAGTAGAGACGGGGTTTCACCGTGTTAGCCAGGATGGTCTCGATCTCCTGACCTCGTGATCCGCCCATCTCGGCCTCCCAAAGTGCTGGGATTACAGGCTTGAGCCACCGCGCCCGGCCGGGACAGCACTTCTTTCAGACCCAATGCTATCATAAGTAAAAGATAATGTATAATACAAAATGTATTTTCCTAATCACTTTAAAACACAAGCTAGTTTTCTACCACCTGGTCAACTGTTAGTATTTTTAAGTGTTTACCAACTGATAATCAATTTGAATTCTCAAAGGAATAGCAATTCTGGAATAAATAAGGACTTAGTTACAAATAGCAGCATAGGTTACAAAAGCCCAAGGCCTGAAGAAATGCTGCTGAACAAAAATGAAGTGAGGATGAAAGCAGATGAAGGCCACCGAGGCCTATGGCCATTAGGAACATTGAATCACTTGAATGCCAACTAAATAACTGGTCAAATTTCCTGCTAATTGGTATATTTTAAAACCCAAAATAGGCTTGAAAATAAGTTAACATTTGGAAAAAAAGAAAAAAAGATGAAGTTTATTTATGGTAATAACTGAAGCAGTAGAGAATAATTTCACTCATGGAATCCCTAAAAAAGAAAAACAAGTCTTCCAGGACCTGAAGGTCAAATCAGTATCATCTGTTAATATTTTCCTGAATCTTAGTCTGTAGTTTAAGAAACCTGGAATAAAGTCATTAATGATGAGGTTTTACAGCCCCTAAGTTCCTAGACTCTAACAGATGGTATGCAGTAGGTACTCACAAGCCTTCCCGGAAGCCATCAATCAGTGCTTGGAAGAGAGGTTTATTGTGAGGGATTGTCTGGAGAATGTTCCCATCAGCAGTAACATACCCAATAGCCCACTGACCCAGACGAGTACAGCTCAGCCGGAAGATGTAACTATGAACAGAGACAAACAGAAGCTTTAGTAGATTATGCTGGTATTAGGGTGGAAGGCAAGGCAAGATACAGACAAAAATCAAAAGGACCGTCAAGAATAACTTTTTTTTTAAAAAAAAAAAGACAGAGTCTGGCTCTGTCACCCAGGCTGGAGTGCAATGGCATGATCTTGGCTCACTGCAGCCTCCGCCTCCTGAGTTCAAGTGATTCTCCTGCCTCAGCCTCCCAAGTAGCTGGGACTACAGCATGTGCCACCATGCCTGGCTAATTTTTGTATTTTTAGAAGAGATGGGGTTTCACCATGTTGGCCAGGCCAGTCTTGAACTCCTGATTTCAAGTATCTGCCCAACTTGGCCTCCCAAAGTGTTGGGATTACAGGCATGAGCCACCACACCAAGGCAAGAATAACACTTATCCTTAGCTTCAAGTCAGTGACGAGTAAAAAGAAAGAAAATATTTTTAAAAAGAGAGTAACTTCCTCCATGACTCCACACCAGAAGCAAACGACACATAAACGCAATTCTTTTTTGTTTGTGTTGGTTTTGAGACGGGGTTCCACTCTTGTTGCCTAGGCTAGAGTACAATGGCATGATCTCGGCTCACTGCAACCTC